CACAGCATCTCTGAAGACCATAGGAGTGAAAAAAACACATCTGATTATCCCACTTCCTGGTAGAAAATAGCAGTAGTTGTCATTTGTACTGATTTCTGATGTGTTCATGCTGCTGATATTTTTGATGTAAAATGGTAAGTTCATGCTTATCAAGGAATTGAGAATCCAACAGAAGAGGAACAAGGGAAGCAGGTGCCATGCAGACCTGGGCTGCAGCCTCCCCCACCTAGAGGATCTGGGACTGATGGTGATGGCCTGGACCACTATGAGGAGACTGGTGGTGCAGATGGACAGGCCCCGGGCCACCCTCTCTAGGTAACCCAGTATCTTACAACCAACATGGTACAGAGAATTCCTCAAACCAAAAGCTGCTAATGTCTTTGTCATTCCCTTGGAAAGAAGCATTATGATATGTTTATAAAAGTCAGATGAATGAGAATAATGTCTATAGATTTCCTGCCAGTGCCCTTCAAAATGCACATATAATTCAAAGAAACAAAGATGTTCCCCACAATGCCCAGGCCTGTTAGAATGACAAGAAGTCTTACAACACCTTCCTGGGAACCTTCAGTATGAAGGTCCTGATGTAGATGGCCAGTTATGAAGATGACACCCTGTTCAAGAGGAGGCTCTGGGCCAGCCACGGAGCTACTCGGTTCTCAACTTTGAGATTCAGACACCAGCTGCCCAGGAGGCAGAAAGTTATGAGCCCAGTCTGATAATCATAACTGGGCTTCTCATACCTATGAATTTGGTTTTGCTAGTTTTAAAGAAACTTTCTCACAATAGCTGTTTTGATCGTTATATGGGTACAATAAATGTGCTGAGCTTGTTCTGTGTCACTATCTCCTTACCAGGGATCAATGAACCAGGGAGATGTAGCTTTTTCCTATTTGTGTGTCTATTTGTCTTTTCTCTATACCATCATTGCCCAGTCCGGTCATCTAAATTAAGGGCTGTGCCGATCCTGACACCTGGCTTTTTAGATTTCTACAGTTTTGTAGTATATTTTTTAAAATATTTATTTTTTAGTTGTAGTTTGACACATACCTTTATTTTTATTTATTTATTTTATGTGGTGCTGAGGATCGAACCCAGGGCCTTCCACAGGTTAGGCGAGTGCTCTACTGCTGAGCCACAACCCCAGCCCTTTTGTAGTATGTTTTGAGATCTGAAGGAGTGTAATGTCTCCTTTTTCATTCTTTTTTTTTACATAAGATGGGTTGGACTATGCTTTTAATTCTCTGAGGAATATCCAAATACTTTTAATATTGAAAAAGGACCATTGATCCCAGCCACAGTGCACACATACTATCGGAGCCATGTTTCCACACCCAAAGTTGTTTTTTACCTAGTTCCTTGAAAACACTTATTATTTCTTATCTCCTAGCTAAGAACAATCTAACAGCTGTGAGGTTCTGTCTTCTGGGAATTTTATTTGCAGCCTCCTGATGGCAGTGATGTTGGGTGCCTGCTCATACGTTTTGTGGACATTTGCACATCTTCTTGGGAAAATATTTTTCAAGGGCCTTGCCAATTTTAACTTCCTTAGTTATGGGTTGTTGGTTTTTTGTTTTTGTTTTTTTTTTTTGTGTGTGTGTGGCTATGTACCAATGTTAGTGACTTACATATATTGGACAGTAAAACGTTACTAGTCAAGGGTTTCAAATGTGGGTCTCATACCATTGCTGGCTTTTCATGTGTTGAGTGTTGACTTTGTGTGCAGAATGTATTTGGTTTGAAATAGTGTCACTTGGTAATTTCTTCTATTTTTTCTGATTTGGATGTCATACATAAAAACTCACTAAGTAGCCAAAGTCAAGGAGTTTTTCCCTATATTGAATTTAAGGAGTTCTACAATTTCAGTTATATTATGGAATCTTTGCTAAAATTTGAGTAGAGTTTTGTGTATGGTTTAAAGTTAGGGCCCAATATCATATTTTGCATGTGAGTATCTAGTTTTACCAACACCATTTGCTGAAGAAATTTATCAGGATAGCTCTGCATCCTAGATGAACTCTGTTGGTTCTTGGCTATCAGTTCAACATCAAATTGGGAGGTGCTAGCACTGAACAAGAATCCCTGAACACAAAGGGAACTATCAGATCCCAAGCACACATGTGCCATTTGGTGACACTAATTCACCAAGTGACAGTGGCCATGTTTACCATAATGAAAAATAATCAGAACTCTGAGACGCAGAGAAATTTTGGGCATTAATCAACTGATCATGGTGTATATAAATGGAACATATGGGAGTTCTGCCCAATCTTTCTGGATCTGTAGAATTCAAAACCTCAACTCTTGTGAGTGGAAATCTGAGTTGAATCACTAGAACAGGGTTCATGCTCCTCCATTAATGCCCATTCTGGAGCCAGTCTGCAGATACAGAGCTCCTTTGTGGATGGAGATGCTCATGAGGGACCTTGCTGCACTGCCAGAGCACACTGAATGCTCCCTCCCACTATTCCCAGTGAGACCTTCATGGACCTACATTGATGAGTCATAGAATGACTCATCATGGGAACAAGGGAACCATCAGACATTTCAGCAATTATCTGACACTGGTTCAAACTAAGGATAATTGCTGGAGACCCCAATTATTCCTGCATCCACCAATAAAAGGAGGGATTTAGTACGTTTATGATGAGTGAAGTTTTCTAGGGCCCAAGATCTCTTGTATGAAATCCACCATCAATTAGAAATGGTTGAAGACTGAGACCTGATGTATTCTTCTGGTTACTTTCTAGGTATTTCTTGTTCTAATTTTTAGCAAAAACAGGTCTGTGTGTACCCATTGCTGTGTCAATTCCTTGTAATAAGGTCTTCTGGGTTTCTGTATATGGAAGTTTATCTCACAAAATTAGAGGACTATCGGTCATCTCTGTGGTGAGCCGTTCCTGCGGACTGTGGTCGCCATTACATGATGGCGCTGGCTCCACTGTGGTCTGTGAAGGACAACTCCTTATCAGAGAAAGTTGGCGTATTGTCAACTCCTTATCAGAGAAAGTTGGCGTGTCGTTTTCTAGCACCCTGTGAGAAGGGTCCACGTGGCAGCTTCGCATTGGGGTTCGCGGTGCTTTATTAAGGCTGGGAGGGGCATCCGATTATTATTCCGGGGATTAGAAGAATTATTAGAAGAATGTCAAGGGCCTGAATAAACTGCTGAAAGAAGATTCCTGAGTCGCGTCTTCCTTGCGGGCAAGGGGGTCATGACACATCTCCACTATAAACATCTTGTAAGCTTTCTAATGTGCAAATGATGCAGACTTCATTCCACTATTTACATTTTGCTACTTTAATTGTGTACATATATTTGAGAAATCAAAAAAAAATTGATGGGCTACCAGTCATGCCAAAGTGCTCCAGTGGCCAGTGTTTCCCATTTCTCTCTCCTGTTTCACACTCCACATGTGTATAACAATGTTAATCATGTGCTTTATTCCTTTCAATTACTTTCTAATTATGATTTCTGACATACTTTTATTTTCTCAACTCAATATCTACATTTTAGAGTGAAGAAGAATTATACTCATCTAGGGAAAATTAAATCCAGGCAAACCCTGACAAAATGATTCCGACAGTCATCAGCCACCTTCTCAATCATTTATATACTTGTCTCTTATTAGTGTCAGTCATCTAATTCTCATGATTCCACCTTTTCGTGTTATTTATTCCTAACCACACCTCTAAGATCAGCACTCCTTGATCTTGAGCTCATAAGCAGTGACCTGTTCAGAAATGGCGCATGTTATTTTTTTCTCTACTCTAGACTTTAGGATACAGGTGTCTCAGGAGAACTGTGGAATGAAGACAGTAGTTCATCCTTTATCTTCAAGGACACTGACATTATATGAGGCAGATAAACACTAATCTTGGAATATGACCTAATAACATCAACACATTATTTTAAATGTGTGTTAACATGGTATAAAGAAACCACACATCTAAATATAAACAGGTTCACAAGAAAGATTGTAGAACAATTTGACAATTGAGGAGAAAATCCTCTAAGTCAATTCTGATGCCTTGAAGGGAATATGATCAATAATCAATAGCATCAGTAATATTTCAAAATGACTTAACCCATACCTTATTGCCAAGCTGGGCACACACCTGTAATCTCAGCTGCTCAGGAAGCTGAGGCAGGAGGAGTTCAAAGCCAGCCTCATCAACTCAGTGAGACCCTGTCTCTAAAGAAAATACAGAATAGAGCTGGGGATGTTGCTCAGTGGTCAGGGGCCCCTGACTTGGTACAAGAAAAAAAAAACCGTATTTCTATATCTGTGCATTCTACATGAGAATATGCTTTTATTCCATTTAAGAAAAAGTAAAATCAAGTACACTTCATTATATCATAATATCATGTGTATTTCTAAAGATAAGGAGAAAATATCAAGAAGTGTAAACCCCCTATTACTCCCTTGAAACAAGCCATGATTTTTTATCAAAACAAAATTCTCATTTATTAGAGAAAAATGCATTTAACTTCTGAGTTAGCAAATCAGAAAACATGGAAAGAAAACTAAATCATTTTCATTATAGCTCCATTTGTTTCTATCAAGTGAGACAACTACACTTTCAGGCCTTTTATTCTTGCAGATTTCATAATGTAGACAAAATCCAATAAAGTATATTATTCCATCCTTATTTTTAAATACTATAGCTCTGTGAAGATAAGTCTATTAATTAAAATCACACCTTGGATATCAATACATATTAACAGAGTTTGATGTTTAAAAGAGAATTAAAACATGCAAATCCAGGGTCATACGAGAGGTAGAAAATCATACTTAACCAGCTTCATATGATGTCTGTCTTAGAATTGTCACAAGCTTATGGTGTGGAAATGTGCCTTTATGTGATTCTGCTGCCCTTACCTGATTTTTCATCACATACAGCAACACAAAACAAAGACTGTTTTCAAACCTCCTTACTAGAATGATCAATGAAATAGATATTATTTCAGTGTCTTTCTCTCTCACTGAGCACGCCAACATTCAGCCAGGTGTCCATCCCTGTGCATCAGCACAAATGGGCTGAGGATTGCATAGCCAAGGTCCAAAAATTCTAGAGCACTTCTTTTTAGGAAATGCTTCTCTAAGGAGAAAGTTACATATAAAGACATAAAGCAACTTGTCCAATAGAAGAAGAGAAAGCAGAGCATCAGAAGGAGGACACTCTTCGCAGCCTTCACCTCAGGGGGGGTTCTGTAGAGGAGCTTGGAGGTCTGAAGGTGGAGCATGTGCTGGTGGTGCTTGTGGAGGAGGAAGACCATGTAACCACTGGCCCAGCCCATGACACCCTGGAACACAGCATCTCGAAGGACCATGAGAACAATAAAAATCCATCCAACTGTCCAGTTTTGTAATTGAAAATAACAGTAGTTGTCACTTCTAGTAATTTTTGATGTGTTCATGCTGCTTATATGTTTAATATAAAATGGCAAATTCATGCTAATCAAGGAATTAAGTATCCAAAAGAAGACTAACAAGGGAAAGATGTGCCATGCTGACCTGGGCTTCAGGCTTCCCCAGTTAGAACCTCTGGGACTGATGGTGATGGCCTGGACCACTGTGAGGAGACTGGTGGTGCAGATGGACAGGCCCCGGGCCACCCTGCTGAGATAAACCACCACCTTACAGGCTACGTCACCTAGGAGGCTTCTCAACCCCAAACTGAATATTGTCATTGGCATGCCTCTTGAAAGAAGTGTTATGATGTTTGTAAAAGGCAAATGGATGATAATGAGGTGGATAGATTTTACAGTGCTTCTAAAATAGCACATACAGTTCACAAGAACCCATGTATTAAGCACAATTCCAAGTCCTGTTAGAAACATGAAGATTGTTCCTTTTACAAAATTTAAACCCATTTCTTACTTCATAGGCAGAATATCCTGGATGTAGCAAACATCTTTTTGAAGCAAACAACAGTAATGATGACATTTACCTGCACAGAAATATTTCACATGAACAGTTCCTAGAGTGTAAGAACAATTGGGATATATGTAATGGAGCAAATTGTGTCCAAATTTACGCTTTCTGTAATGCTTTGAGGATCATTCTACATTCTTTCAAACACCATCTTGAGTACTATTATTCAAAACTCTAAATTTTCAACTCTGAATTTTTGTTAAGTTCCCTACAATCATTACTAAGTTGTTTGGTCAAATTCTTGATTCCTCATCCATGTTCAACCTCAGCATGGATACACTGCACCTGCAATCCCACAATCAGATTTCTCCCTGTCATTTCTATATCATTCTATATTCTTTTTATGAGGATGCCAAAGTCCAAGATCATGCTTGACTGTTCTTGCCAACACCTAGTACACAAGCATTTGCAAAAATCCAGGTGCTCCACTGTCTTTAACAAATGTACATTCAGCTGTATTTCAAATTCCATTTTCTCTCTTTCTTTGTTCATGTTCCCTTCTATCTCTTATTTGGGCCAGAACCACAATTCCAGGCTTGCTTTATGCTTAGAGTTTTCCATTTTTCATGAGAAGAGCTTCCCTCTGTGTTTTCCTACTCATCAATAGAAATCTGTGGTTTCACTGCTTATTAATAGTCAGAGTCCCTGTAGTCCTCAATGTGACCCTAAACGCCAACCTTCACAAATGGAATCCAACAGGTAAAGCCAAATAATTCTAAGACAGGAAGCAATGAGTCACTAGCTTGAGAAAACCAGATCATGGACACCGTGGAGCCACCTATGGCCCAGGGAAGCCATGGGACGCTGCTCTTCCAGGGTCTTCAGCAGAGGGCTGAGCCCCCAGTGATGACCTCAGGAGATTTTAAGGGCAGCCTGGTTCATCCAAAGGTTAGGGTGTGAGGAACAATCACCTGCTCTGTGCTGTCAGGAGACAAAGCAGCCCATGACTTGGGAATCCCCAGTAAAACCTCCTGGTAGATAAGTTTGCTGGGAGATATTGGCATGAATGAAGTCATTCAAGTATGTTCCTGAGGGAATTTCACAGCCCTCGCAGAACCTTGGGGGAAACAATGATTTCGGTCAAATCTGCAGCCCGTTCTGGTTGTCTTTTTTGCCACATACTCAAAAAATTGGACTTCTGTCATATTTAAACTTCCTGGGTCATTTCCATGCAGTCCTGGACAGGATGCTACCTTTTCCTGTCAGATTTCCAATCTCAAATCTCACCCATGAATTTATGTCAATTGTGGTCACTTTCTCCAAAAAAAAGGACCTAGGATGTTGAAAAAACTTTGTAGGATTTTCACATATCAATGTGCAGGGAATCACAATTCTGCAATCCTTCCTCCCACCTCCTGCTATTTATTAAAAGATTGCACTAGATTTCTCTTCTGAATGTCCTGACAACTGAAAGTGCAAGAACATTAGGTACAATGTAGCCCCTGAATTCAGGAAGATTCATGATTGTTTTTCCAACTCTGTTTCCTCCACTAACAAATGGGGAGAATAAAGCCTGCACCAATGCCTTAGTGTAAAGAGCACAGAATCCTGAATATGTGCTGTGCAATGCCTTATGACACAAGCTTTAATGATCCAAAGCAGTTTCAACTAGTAGGTAAAGGACAAAAATGAAAATCACTGTCCATCACAGCCCTGAGGACATATTAAATATTTTCGTATTTCTTATATATTTCTAGTTTTTCTCATATTTTCAGCCCATTCCCACATTCCCAAAACACACAACTCTGAATCAAATTTGGGAGGCACTTCTTAGACATAAACTCCCTTCTCTTTCACTCTGGCAGAATAAAATGAAGAATGTCAGAGGAGACAGTGGCCTTGTCCCAGATTGATTTTACAATTATAGAGTAAATGGTTCTAAAAGGAAGGACTTGCATTCAGAGAAATGTATCATCCCCCACCTGGAAATAACACAAACAGCTGGGCAGGTTCATGCACCCATCCTGGGGAAAATGTCCCAAGATGAATTTGGCATTGGTGGTCCTTGCCTCATGATACTGAACTAAACTTTAAAAACTGCTCTGGAATATTAATACCAAGAAAAATAATGAAAACACACAGGAATTTATAATCTGAAACTATGATTTTAAATGCTAATTGTTTTACTAGGCACTCAAACAAACAAACAGGTAGAGAATGAATTTGACTCACATGTAGATCTAATGTTGATTGTGAGGACAGTTTCAAGGTGGGGGCAGAAGAAATGCCTTCAAGCTAAATACACTGCACTTAGAGACCCATAAACATAATACTAGAGAAAAATGGCATCTCAGAAGCCCAAAATATACCCCAAAACTAGGTACAAAAATATTATAAGCTACAAATGCTCATAGAGTCTTAGAAGGAAAAGGTAGAGGCTAAAGAAACTGAGCTTTACTAAAAGCAGACAAAGCTTCTCGCTTTCTATCCTCAGGACCCACCACTGAGCTCTCGGGTGCATCCTGATCCTGAACACAGCGTCAAAGATGTTCTGACTTAGCTGAGGGACGTCTGCTATCAATGGCCCCTACCTTCCTGGCCCCTGTGCATACCTTCAGATATCAGAAGAAGGGTGAAGATCCTAAGGCCCAGGCCCTCCCAGCAACTCCACTACTCAGTCACAGATCAGAGCTGCTAAGAAATGTCACATGTGCCTGTGATCAGTTTAGATCCTCAGGTGCACTCACCTTGGTGGCATGCTGCAGACCAGCTCCGTGTTGGTGCTTTGAAGGAGATGCAGCTTTCAAGGTTGATTTGTACCTTCTGGGTTTGTGGGCCCTTGCTTGCCATTACGACACCGAGGCTCCACTTTTCAGCACTGACACCTGTCAGAGAGAAGCAGTCCTCTGCAGAACTTCAGTCCCCCGAGAAGGACTTTCCCTCTCCCTCCACAATTACTGCACTTGTTTGACTCAGAAGTTACCTCAGTCTTAATTGGGGCTTAATTATTTTAATAAAAGCTCGTGCAGTGAGAAGTGAACAACCAGGCACATTTCTGTATCCAAGTTCCCAATTCTTGGCCTTCTCTTCCCCTTCCCAAAGGTCCTCTGCTGAATCAGAATGGGACCAGGGTCTCAGACCCAGTTTTCCTCATTTTTCGAGGCCTTTCCCATGTAGAAGGATATGGTATGTGATGACCAGAACTCAGGACTCTGCTTTCAAGCAAGCCCTGGGCAGTTTTTAAATTTCCATTTCACGTCAAGATGGACTCCTGAACAAAAAGAGTTTCTAAGGACCTAGCATTTTGGCCTTCTGTCTTACAATGATAAGGGGCACTGTTCATTCTGCCTTCTTCAAGCTGAACAGGGACAAAGAAGGGTCAGGCCAGAACTTCAGGGAGGGCCTATCCTGGCTCTTAAGAGCTGGCTTACAGTCTGATTACTGAGTGCTTTCCTAGATCTTGTAAAAAGAATTTTTAGGCATTTTATTAGATAAGGTCCTGGTAAGAGCACCATGATGACTTTAAGGGGATGGCCCATCAATGGGGGCAGCCAGGGGACAGTTTGTCTCAAAGGTTCAGGGAGATGACTGCTGCCACTCCCAACAGCATTTCTGGATGCTTTCCTAGAGCTCAGCTATTTTTAATTGGACTATTCCGGATTTGTTGGTGAAATAACATTCCTCTCCTAAAAAGACCCAAGTGCCTCCCTTCTCTACCATTGGAAGTCAATGGCTCTCTTGTTTTTGAGAACTACATTGGCTACGGAGGTAACTTGGATTTGAAGAGACTCTAGGGACTCTGCCACCTGCTAAAGTCCTCATTCAATTCTTGGGAGAGTGCAGAGTAAACATGGGTGGCTCTGCCTATTCCTGCTACCCCTGTGCCACCTGCGGCCAATATGCCTGACACAAGGAGGACTGGGGCTAGGGCTGCCCTTTTGCACTTGGAACATTGAAGTATAGTCCAGGAGCGGGAGGAAAGGGCCAGTCCAACCTCCCCCTCTGTGGGGACAGGTGCATGGAATACTGCATGCATGGCACATAAAGTGTGTCTGAGAGGCAAACCACTCCTCACATGCTAGGCGTGTGAGCGGCAAACCGCTTAACCCGTAGGCACAGCCCTGGGCGTGAGGCCATGTGTTGAGTTCCCTGTGCTTGCTCCATGGCCCACTCCTGGATTGGTCACTGCAAGGACAGTTATCAGACATTGCACTGGTGGTTGCTATAATCTGCTTGGCTACTGCCTGAGGTTATATCCATGGTAACTGCGCAGTAAAATCAGACCTGCTTTCTGCTTGGTCTCCGGAGGTCTTGAGTAGTGACTCCGCAGCCACACTCTCCTCTGCCTGTTTCATGGACCTCCTCACTGGACGAGAGAGAGCCTAGACAGCTGGTACCTGAACAGGGACCTGGGTTAAGCTTATATGTGGCCCTCAGAGAGCAGTGAGCAAGAGGAAATGGGGAACCTACCAAGTTCCACCACAGACGCTCTTAGATTCTAGAGGTTCATCCCTGGGTAAGAGAGAAGCCCACAAGTTCTGGGACATAAACGCCAGTCCATGGATAAGGGCTGGTGATGTATTGGATCCTAGGATATGCAACAAGATAATGGTAAATGTGCAGCAAGCTGAAGTGAGACAGGGGTGTACTTTACAATTTTTTTTCTTTTGTGACAACCATTCAACAAGTTTAGGGGGCCCTGAAACATACCCTTGCCTTATAATGATGACCCTGAGGGAGAATGAGGAAGTGAGAGACAGACAGGGGGGAAAAGGTGGGGGTGACCATCTACCTCAAAGCAAGCATCCACAGCAGGCACAGGAAAGCCGGGGCGGGAATCTACTTCAAAGCAAGCAACCACCATGGGTGCAGGAGGGAGAGAGGCAGGAAATGGTGCCGCTAGCCTTCATGG